GCAAAAGAAACAATGTTTTTTGACTTTTTGTTTTCAATATCGAGGTTGAGGAGAAATGTCATATATACCATTTTGTAGAGCAAGTCAAGCTCTATCGATTGGTATATGACTCAATTTCAACCATGGAAGAATTTGAAGGAAAAAATTCAGCGAAACGAAAAGTTGAATTTTTTGCATTTTTGGATGGTATTTTTTAGGGTATGTCAGGTTCATCGGTTCTAGCCAACCATAGGTAGATCTTTAGGCCGTAATATTTTGGATTTATATATGGTACACTAAGGCCTAAATTCCTATGAGGTCAGATTCAAAATCGGTTGACCCCCATGTTTTTCGATACATAGAATTTTTTGATTTTCTCATGGAACGTCTTTTAATACAAAAATGATGAAATGCTAAATCAGAGACTGTTGCCATTGTCTAATATTGATTTTTTATTTTTTAAATATTCACATCCCAGTCCATTCCCTTTTTTTTTTATATGCCTCATGTTTGTTTATCATAACATCATTTTTCTGGTTCTGACCATGAATGATAGAAAATATGTTTTTCACATTACAGGGATTGTGATTGTAACATGAGACCGGAAATAATCGTCTACTGTTCAGAACAGAGAGACGTTCATATCGAAAGGTTGTACTGTAATTATATTTTAATCATATACTATATATTTATTTTAAGATGAAATTAAATAATAATTCAACTTCATTTTTCTCAAGTATCTATCAAATATAAGTATAAATAATTTTTCTTTTGATAAATTTACAAGAAACAAATTTCTTATTAGGTCAAAATGTGTCAATAGATTATGAATTAATTACTATCAAATGCACTCATATACTATCATCTTGTCTTTCTATAATAGTGAGTCAATATCTAACAGATTATATATAATGAAATTTGTTCTCAATTAGTTATTGTTATAAAGCAAGATAATAGACAAATATATAGAACAAAACCTATTTATATTTAACTATTATTCAATTGATCTATTAACACATATTGCAATATATTATTCTAATCCATCAAACAGTTACTTGATCAATCAATGTTAGATAATTGAAAAAGAGAAGGATGTTTATTGAAATGGTTAGCATATATAAAATCAGATGATTCGTTCCAATATTTTTTATTTAACAATCTGTTTTTATTTCTATTACTGTATATAAATAAATTATCATTGACGAACAAATAGAAAACTTCTTAGGAATATAAATTTTATATTTATATATTAAATTAATTAGATAGAATTATATATATTCTAGTTGTTTCTATTTGATAGAAATACAATGACTGTACATATTATCTATATTCAAACTACAATTTTGTTTTATTGAATTAAAAATATACAAAAGAAAAATAAAATCATATTGTTAATAATTCATAATATTAGAAATAACCCGCATATTGTGGAGTGCCATAAACATCAGAAGGATTTGGATTATTATTATTATAGTAATATCCTGGATTTGGATTATTATTATTATAGTAATTTCCTGGATTTGGATTATTATTATTATTATAGTAATATCCCATATTTGGATTCTGTTGTGGTTGCAGCAGTTCATTTGATAAAGGTTGTTTATTAATTGGATTAAATTCAGCCGGATGCATTTTCACCATTAGTCCAACGAATACGAAAGCAAGAATAGCCAGGCAACCATTAATAAGAACAATGCCTGTTATTTGAATAACAACAATATTTGCAACAGGTGCCATACATCCACGAACATAGAAACTACTTGAACTATTACTAACTGAGATTGAACAAACTAAATAAATACTTTCATATTATTTATATTAT